GGGGGGGTTGGTTGTGTGTGTGTGTATGTGTGTGTGTGTGTGTGTGTGTGTGTGTGTGTGTGCGCGTGTGTACTGAAATGACCAGGGAAATACCTCACTGCAATGAAATGTACCATTGGGCACTCAGGATTAATGGCCCGTGAAGAATGAATAAAGCAAACTGTACTTGTCACAGTTAGTGTTTCAGACGTTGTGCAGAAGCAGAAATGCTCCAAGGGCTGCAGACTGGAACCAGAACTCCTCAGTCTCCCGGAGAGTTACAGCCTTGTATTCTAGCACCTTTGGGCTTAGGACATGTGTTCCTGGCTGCACAGCACTCCTGTGGGCCTTGGGTGATCTCTCCAGTAGAGGTGGAAAATTCGTTGTATCCCAACTCTTTCTATTCCCTAATGAGAGCTCTTTCAGTCAGCTAGTATGTACAACATGATCTCCATGTCTTTCTTCATGCTTAGAAGAAAGCAAAGATCTGATCACATAGCTACAAAAGCATCATTTAGACCCTTAAGAATGAAAAACAGTTTCTAGGTTGAAATCCTACTGCCGGAGAGGCAGCCTAACTCATGACTGCTCAGGACACAGGCAAGAAAAACATTTTTCAGATATGACTTCTCTTGTAGTGTTTCCTTCTACCTGGTCATGCTGACAGCTGTGAATCCCAGATTTAAGTTGTAACTCTCCTCAATCACTTTATAAGGCATTTGTACATCATAGTGCCAGTAGATGCTAATTAGGAATCTAAGTTAGCTAGGAATAACAGTTTTGCTGAGCATTACAATGCATAAATCCCTTAGTCTGTGTGGTCCTTGTGACTAACACATACCTATGTCTGCCATCAGCCCAAGCCAGCTTTTCCCCTGCAAAGTGGGCTTCAATATTTCTGCCTTTCATACATAATGAAACAGGAATGGACACTGTTCTTCTCAAAGCACAGGGGATTTTCCTACGCCTCACTTGTGAGATGCGGTAAAAGGAGCTGCTGGGAAAAGGAGGATCTGGGAAATTACAGGCTAGTCAGCTTGACTTCGATGTCCTAAAAAACACTGGAGCAAATTATTAACCAATCACTTTATAAGCACTTATTGGATAAAAGGTGATAAGAAACAGCCAGCATGAATTTGTCAAGAGCAAATCATGTCAAACTAATCTAATCTCTTTCTTTAATGGGGTCACTGGCCTATGGACAGCAGAAAGTGATAGAGATGATATATCTGGACTTTCGTAAGGCTTTTGACACAGTCTGACATGAGAGTCTCCTACAGCTAGGGAAATAGGACTGAAAGTGAACCACCACAGCAGAGGGACGATTGAAAAATTAGACTTTGAATTCACTATCAGGAATCTGCTGTGACACAGGAAAAGCAATTCAAGTCTCTCAGGCATCTGTCCTGGGCTCAGTTCATTCAAAAATTTTTGAACTTATAATACAGACAACTTAAAACAGAAAACCAGACCAACATCCACATGGAGAATATACACAGATTCAGTGGAGTTGATGTTAACGCTGCTTTATAAAGAAAAAATATACAAAAATCCTTATTAAGAAAGAATCACCTTTTTTGTCTCATTCATATATGTAAATGTATATAAAAATATATAATGCCATTTTTAATTTTAATGAATCATACATTTACTAATTAATATTACAAGAATGGGAACACAAGTTTATTGTCTGGCAAAGTGTTTTTTTCTCTGTGTAAGTGAAGAACACATTCTATAATTCCAGGTACTACTCAGTCTTTTACCTCTTTTCTAGCTATCTGACCTGATGGTGCTATTAGTCCAGCACTACAATGCATTATATTTCATACTGCCACATTTTTAATATATTATACTTCATACTGCCACATTTTTAAGATATGATAAGATAGCTATTTGTTTCAATTTTTTTATTAACAATTTAGACAATGGAGCTGATCAGACACAGCTGAAATGCTTAAATATGGACATCTGTTCTATTTTAGATGCCTCAGGGTATCCCATCTGGTGTCCAGCTGCCACTTTGAAAAGGTGTGCTTCTCCTGTAAGCCCCATGTCATATTTGTCAATCACAGGCTATCCTAAGTACCCAACACATCTGAAGTGCCACTAACACAGCTATGTTGAGGCAACGGAATCAATCTGTCAGCTCTGTGAATAACACTGAACTTGGGGGTAAGGGGTAGATGTGCCAATACCTGATTCAGTTAAAAAGGCTTCACAGAATCAATCACGTGAAATGCAAGAAAGGCAAGCGTGAAGTCAATGTTTAAGAAGGAGAAATCAAATACACAAACTGAAGTGAGGTGGTAGCAACCCTGCAGAAATTGATCTGGCCATTAGAAAGGGTCCTACAAACATGATGTGCAAGTGTTGTCACTGACCCCCACTTAGAAGTAGGACCTGAGCGGTTCTTTAGGCCTCATCAGGAACGTCATCTGCCATTTGGGTCACTGCACTTTAAGGAAGATGGAGACAAAATGGAGAAACCTGAAATGACAAGAGGACAATGAACAAAGGCTGGAAACAGATTGTATGAGAAAAGATTGAAAAAAATCAATCTGTTTTCCCTAGAGAATAGTAGAGCTACATGATTAAGGATATAACAGTGGTGTAAAATATGTAATAGGTTATTCTGAAGCAAAGAGTGAATAATTGTTCTCCATCTCCTCTTCAGGTAATTGGCTTGCTTTGCAGCTGAGGAGATTTAAGCTAGAAATTAAGGGAGTACCTAACTACTGGGATAATTTCACATAGGAACACTACCTAAGGAAGCTTTTTCCATGATCTTTAGGATGATCAAAAAAAGACTCTATACTCTTCATATTTTGCCTTGACCTGGATCCAGCACTCTGATCTATTGAGTCTCCTGTTTTAATACCGTGGAGTGAAAAGAAGCATCTTTACACCTGGCTGCCCTTGCAGTTACATTCATGCCTGAACACAGCCAGTTGTTTATAGGTACAGTCATCAGAACCCTCCATTTGGGCTGGTAGTTTCTAAACTGGAAGATCTCTACAAACAACAGAAGAGGAGGACAACAGTATGGCAGCGGTAGAGAAAGACCTCTGTATGACAGGAGATTAAATATACCCAGACTATTCAGGTTATCAAAAAGAAAACTAAGAGAGGATATGATGAAGTATATAAGATACTGATTTGCCTTGAGCAGTTGCGTAGAAAAAGATTGTTCAGTCTTGTTTCATATAAAACATCAATTAAATGGTGGCAGATACAAAACAAACTGAAGGAAATATGTTTTCACTCAATGTAGCATTAATGTGAGGAATGCTTTACCACAAGGTACTGGAGGCACACAACAGTTCTGTGTTTTCGCAAAGCAGATAGGGAAATTCAGGAAAGGGAAATCTGTTAATGGCTAATAAATTCAAAGATACAACATTGGACTCAAGAACTTCCTAAGTCACAAGTCACCACACCCTGGGAAGGCATACTGGGGACAGCTTGTATGCTTACTCTGTTCTTATGTTCCTCCTTCACTGTACGTAACTAGCCATACTGACTCTTAGTTTTCCAAGATAAGGATGGGCCTAGGCCTGTCTCCAAATAAATTATGGAAAAGCCTGCCAGGAACCAGAATAGAGGAATCAACTTTGAGAAATAGAGACAAGCTGGGTGGAGAAATTGCTGCCTGAAGATGTTCAAAGAGGCTTTAGATACTGCCCAGTTGTCCAGTGACCCTCCCAGACTGTGACAAATCAAGGTATGACAATAAATCTCACAGTCATGGGCTCTTCACTGTCAAGTGTCTTCTTTTTCATGCTACAAATGGCCAGGGTCAAGAAAAGCATAAGTGTATTGACTTTGTTGGAACTCAGAGGAGAAGAATATAGATACGAAGGCAGGCGGAAGTGCAGCCAGAACCTCAGCAAAAGGTTCAGAAGTTGAGCCTTCAGTGTAAATGTCAAGCACAGTCAATGTCTTGTCAATATCGTGATGGAAGACATCCACATCCTCTGAAGGCAGCCCAAGACACGACTGGCACTGGTGATGCCTGCCAAGAACAACCTCTGCGGAACTGAAGACACCTACATGGGGACATGGAGCTGAGGCAGGGGGAACCTCACAAAGATATCCTCCCCAAAACTGTTGCATAAATCCAGATCTTGGAAAAAAACTTAAAGCTTCTGAAGTTCTCTGGTAAAAGGCTGTCAAATCAGAGAGCTCTTGGAAGCGACACTTCTGCAGGATGTGATAATATCAGTTACATCGGGTTATGTGGCAACGGTGAAGAAGAAGAAATGAATGTACCAGTGCACTCTGTATGGGATTACCAGAATTTTATAAGCTGTAGATGGAAAATTAAATGGAAAGATGTCTACAAAGGAAGACATGGCCCTGCCCTCTCTTTTGTCACAGGAGGAGGCTCAGGACAGTTGCAGAGACACTATGGAACATCAGCCAGAGAAGTTTTCTCTGAAATATGACCAGCGCCCCTGGAAAATGACCAGAGGGTAAAAGATCATTCCAATGTAGGGTGGATCTCAGGACCCTTCCCTGAAATGAAAGGCTGTGGAGTACTCCTGCCAACATCTGCAGCTGCTTGGACATGATAGCTTCTGATTTGAGCTTTGAATGGCAGGCGGACTGTGGCTGGGGTGGGGAGCCTGAGGATAGCAAGACCATGCCCTAAGGCAGCAGCTGGCCCATGTTGTACTGAAGTGGTGAGAGGTGCAGCTGTGGCCCACCATGTTCTTCACAGGAGTGAAGAGCAGGTTCCACACAGGCAAGCTTGGGACTCCAGATGGTGCAGCCCATAGAAGAGGCGCCTGCTCTGGGGTGCTCCCCAGAAGTTAATGAAAGCCAGATGCACCATGGCCGGTGCCAATACACTGTGGGGTTGCTGTAGCCTATGAGTACACCCTCTAATGACCCCATGATTGACAAGCCCAGACAAAGGAGTAGTGACACTGCAGACCCACACCTGCTCCTGCCCATACAGCAACAGAAGAAGACAAGCTTGGTCCTTTACCTTTTACTAACCGCTGTCATAAACTAGGTTTGGAGGAGGATGGAATGACCTTTGCTTCAGGCATGGTACAAATCTGGGCTTGTGTTATAAAGTATCTTCATATTCTCTATGGCGAGGAAGGGAAGCAGCAGTGAGTCATAAAGTTTTGAAGATGACAGAATCAGCACTATAAACAGCAAAAGATGGAGCTGGTTAAAAGTCTTCAGCAAAAAGTTTAATTTTATTTTTATGCAAAATGTGAAATTATTGATTTTTCTTTCTTTTTTTGTTGTGAAAGACAGTATTGATCAAGAAAAAACGTTTCAATCTGTGGAAATGACAGCTTAAAATTACTCTAAATGTTAATCTTAAACTCTTATCTGAATTCCTAATGCTGGCGGTGCTGAGATCCCCCATGCCTTGAGAATATGCCCCACATTCCCTCTTCCTATAAACTCTCTGTTTTTGACATTATGCCTTATAGAGACATTTTATGGAGTGATGAGTTTTATTTTGGAGCAGTATCTAATAAATTTCTTATCAGAGCTTTAGTTGAAAAATGATAGCTTCTTCCCTACCCCACTCAATTTGTGAAAAGAGCCTCTGCAAGGACATTGCAAACTTCAATAGTGTCTACCTTTGCCACATGAACAGGCTGTGCAATCTGGAGTCCTAAGAAGGAAAAACTGATGTTCTGTCATGTGTCTCTTCCCCCACCTAGACAGGCAGGTCACCCTGTGACCCACAACCTTCTCAGCTCTTCGTATGTTACTCTTTCCTTCGACGTGATCCATTAGCTCCCACGCCCTTTTGCAGCCCAGACTTCAATTCATTGCATTGACTTCTTTTTCAGCTTTTGATTTGAGGATAATGAGGACAAATGATTCTTCCGTTTGTAGAGACACTGACAGTCAGGTGGTAATTACTATCATTTGTACTAATAAACTGGGATGCTGAGATATCTTCATTTTTACTGGTAGATATTTCTCAGAAACAGCCCCAGCCATCTCCTAATGGCAGCCATTTCCTAATGGCAGAAAAGAGTCTGTATTCCCAGAGGGTCTGACACAATTTCCAAGAGGTTGTATTCAATAGTAGCAAGTGGCAGAAGCTCAGCACATTTCAGGGTCAGGTCTCTAGTTTAGCACATCCTTTAATTAATTGTGTCATATTAATAATGGCGCTGAGATAAGGTCTTATAAAATTCCAGGCTGAGTCAGTGTGAGTCCTTCCACTGATTGTAATGGAAGTTGATATGAACAGGATGTGACTTACATGTTTACAGGTCACTCTTATCATACCCATTTTGTTATAAGTGGTCTTCAGGTAGCACCAATAAATAAATAAATAAATAACTCCAAGAGCAGAGACTAAACCACAAGAGTGCCCCTACTGGTTGAAATCCCACACAGCAAGATACAAAACTGGTCTCCTGTAGCCTGCTTTCCTCTTGGGTTCACGAATCTGTCATTCACAGCTCTAGAGGTGTAGGAAGTGGAGTATGCATTATGTGTGGAGAGAGGGGTTAAACTGTTCCTCGTGGTTATTGCATAGCTGTTAGGGATTCTGTGTTGGGTGTAGGTTTGTATGTCCACCATCCAAATGCATTAAAAGTTGATGTTTAGATTCTGGACCACTATTTCTCTTAGTGGTCTCTGGACCACTATTTCTCTTAGATTCTGGACCACTATTTCTCCCATTTTCTGGGACTTTGTTTGAGATATCATGGTGGAAATCAGATCCATGGGCTGTTTTTCAGCACCTGGAGGTGATTTTATCAAAAAAGCAGGTTCTGCAGCTCTGCAGATACTCCTAGGGCTCCAGTGCCCTCTTAAAGCACCCAGCTCAACTGATGAATGTCACAGGGAAGCCTCCAGAGCTTAAGTACTACATTTACCTTAGCAAAAAGGTTGGACTTGAGCTATTATGCCAGAAGAGAGGATCCAGAGGCACACTCAGGAACCAAGACAGGTCCTCTGAAGTGCTGCCCTGAGACTCACAGATTCACCACCTCAGCCTTGGCAATACTTCACGAACATCATCTGCTGCTCAGTCACATCATTCATAGTGACAGAGACTTGAGCTAAAGCTCAACAGCTGGATGTCCTAAAGGACCTGGATTTTTGGTCTTGCAGTGCTCAGTAGAGGAACGTTTCTAGAACCTACCCTGTTGTGACCCCTTCAAGGAGATGGAGACCAAATTAAAAATATTACCTAAGTCTTGCACAGTAACTTTTGCTGACTTTCTTGATGCTTCCTCTTCAAAAAATTGTTCTGCAAGGCGTATAAACAGCTGCCTGCTTTAAACTTATTGAATCCTGCCTATGATGTTCCTAAGACTAACCATTGAGCTTAAAACTAGTTGATATCTGCTCAAAAGGCTCCGTGCTCTGCATCCTCAAACACCATTTCTGATGCTTGCTAAGGATGCTGATGACACTCCTGTGACCTGGAGAGTTTTAGAGCAGTTACACATACTAGCAAATTATTCAATATTTAGTTGCTCTTTCTTGACTAT